CATGCACACAACTAAGAGGCAAGTTAAACTGGCCCAAAGTCTTGCTCCTTGCCCTGGCTAACCTTGAGCAAGTCATAACCTTACTGCATCTCAGTTCCTTCAGCTGTAGAGTGATGGAGTTGGACGTCTCTAAATCTTGTATTACTATGACCTTGGGGACCTATTTCTGTTTTCAAGGCTTACGTTCTTCCTATGTAAGATGAGGGAGGTTGGACATGATTTTTGTAGATCATTCCAACTCTGAAATCTGGTGTTCCTGCTATACTAGATCCCTGCCCATGGGAAGCTTATAGCCTAACTGGGGACATAAGGTTAGCCTACCAGGCTGTGATATTCTAAGGGTGGGACAAAGCTGGCCAAACCATCTTGGACTATGCTTCCAGATGCAGCTTACGCATATGGCTGTCATCCCATTTCTTTAAACATACCTGTTCATGTGGCGTTTGGGATATCCCACTAGCTATTCCTAGCGACACAAAGCACACAGATCAGCATATCTGCCGGTAGGTGACAGGGATGTCCTATACTGAAGGCTGCTTGTGTGCAGAAGAGTTCAACACCAAACTTTGTTCAGTGCTTTTCAGTTGTGTCTGACTCTATGACCCCATTTGGGGTTTTCGTGGCAAAGGTACTGGAGTGGTTTGCCATTTCTTCCTCCAGCTCATTTTAGAGATGAAGAAACTGAGGCAAACATTGTTAAGTCACTTGCCCAGGGTCACACAGCTAGTAAGTGTCTGAGGTCAAATTTGAACTCAGGAAGGGGGTTCTTCCTGACTCCAGGCCCAGCACTCTATCTGCTGTACCACCTAGCTGCCCAAATATCAGACTACTGGAAAATAAAGTCTCCCAAGTACAGCAAGAGTGTTTCAGCATCAGGCTCGTTGACTTTCCAAGACACTGTGTACTTCTTTGGTTTGATACTGAAGAACTGTCTGGCCATTTCCCATTATTTTTAATAACTTTTTATTATAATCTTTACATCTCTATTGAATTGATTCATTACTTCATTTGAGTCAATCAATCAATTACCATTTATTAAGCACCTACTATGTGCCAAGTACTATGCTAAGCACTGAGGATACAAAGCAAGTTAAAAAACAGTCTCTGTTCTCAGGGAGTTCACAATCCAGTGCAATTTAGTTTAACACTCAAGAGACTTGGCACTTTCTCTTGGGAAAGGCCATCACTTACACAATGTTCTCTGATGCACAGACACACTTGATTAAGGCTGAGAATAAAAATTCAGGATATAATAGTGTTGATTGCCAAATCAGACCAAAGAAAGCTTTGCCAAAATACAGCCCAGCAAACCAAGACAGCCTGTCAATTTATAGCTCAATGAATGCTACTGTCATAGACCCTAGAATTGCAAAGGTTCTTAGAGATCCTCTATTCCAATCCCTCTGATTTTTACAGATGAGGAAACTGAGGTCCAGAAGAAGAAGGATACCAAAGTAAGTGTCACCAGGATTCAACTCTAACTCAGCTACAAGGGATCTAGTGTCAACCTTGCCTGGCTGCAATTTGTTTGGAAGCTTCTGCTGCGAGAGAACTCATTACCTTCTAAGGCAGCTCATTCCCCTTTGGAACAGCTCTAATTGCTGGGAAATTGATCAGGGGCTCACTTGATCACTCCCACTACTCTTATAGCAAGCCTAAGTCTGCTTCTCTTCACTTTCACCCATTGCTCCTTGTTGGGCCTTCTGGGGCCAAGGAGACCAGTCTAAACTTCCTTCTACGACAGGCCTTCATAACCTTGGAGACAGCTCGACCACATCCTCTTCTGCAGATGAGACATCCCCAGTTCTTTCAACCAGTCCTCATATGGTATACTATATTCTTCCATTCTCTTTCCCTTCTGGTGGCCCCCTTAGAAACGCCCTTCATCTTGTCAATGTCCTTCCTACAATGTGGAGACCAGCACAGGACACAGTACTCCAGATTGCACACAGCTAAGAGGCAATTTAAACTTGCCCAGTCAATAGCTAACATCTATATGATGTTTACTATGTGCCAAGTGCTTTACAATTACTATCTCATTCAATCCTCACAGTAGCCCTGGAAGATAAGTGCTATCCCCATTTTGCTGAGGATACTGAGGCAGACAAAAGTAAAGTGACTTGACCAGGGTCACACAGCTAGGAAGTGTCTAAGACCAGATTTGAACTCAGGTCTTCCTGACTCCAGGGCCAGTGCTCTATCTACTGTGCCAGCTAGCTCTACTTTATTCTTTCAGTCTATTTATCTGTAAAATGAGGGGGTCAGACTGGATGGCCTCAGAGGTACCTTCTGGTTCTGAATCTATGGTCCTATGATCTGTAACACCTTCTTGAGAATAGGAAAAGGGATGGTGGCATCAGCACAGAGGAGTGACAAAGCCTCTAAGCCTTAGTGACTATGAATGACATGGGCAACACAGAACAGCACATGGATCAGAGAGAGAGAAATGTGGGTGCAACTAGGTGGTGCAGTGGATAGAGCACCAGCCCTGGAGTCAGGAGGACCTGAGTTCAAATCTGACCTCAGACACATAATACAAACTAACTGTGTGACCCTGGGCAAGTCATTTAACCCCATTGCCTGGCCAAAATATATATATATATATATATATGGCTCAGACCTGAAGGCATTGCTTATGTGGTCATGGAACTCTAAGGGGTGAGTGAAATTGTCAGGACAGGATGCTCCAGACCTGAGGACCCAGAGACACAATATTAGGGAGCAAATCTACACCCTGCCTTTTACTACGGCATGCGGATATTGTCAGTCCTAAGGGAATATGTGTAATACTTAATATTTACATAGCATTTTAGGGCTTCTAACAGGGTTTACATAGATTATCTCATTTGATCCTTAAAACAACCCCAGAAGATAGGTGCTATTTTTATATCCATTTTGTAGATAAGGAAACTGAGGCAGACAGGTTAAGTGACTTACCCAGGGTCACATAGCTAGGAAGTCTAGAGGCAGGATTTGAACTCAGTCTTCTTCACTACAAATCCAAAGTTTTTCCTCTGTGCACTTAGTGTCATTGCTAGAAGGTGTAGTTTCTGAACATCGTAGGAAGATTCATTTTATTTCCTTTTTGGAAGGAACCCTAGAGTAGCGCTGTAAATAGGGAGTTACTACATAAGGATCTGTGGGAGGTATGGTCCACCAGAAGGAAATCTTTCTCAACTGCCTATAAGCTTGGGTATACATTTTTTCTATATTCTTTTTGTGTGTACAATACATTTGCTCTCTGTTCCATGCTTTGGGGTGTTTGCAAGGAAATGGAGGACCCCTAAAGCAGAGCTCAAAATGAAACTAATGTAAAGATTCCCAGAACCTGAGTGGGAGCAAACATGCCTGGTTATGGAGACCCCTTCACAGGATTGGAGTCAGTCCATGTTAGCTCACGGTCATTTTACACTTGAACCCAGGGCGTAGAAATGACCTGTCTATGGTCACATGGCTAATATCAAAGCTGGTAGGGGATTCCAGGTCTTCCAGATCCAAATCCAATACTTTTTCTGGTGCACCTGACTACGTCTAGTTTATTCAGGGTACTGCTCTAGGCCCTAAAGACACAAAAATGAAGAAAGACAGAGTCTCTGCTCTCAAGGAACTTTAAAAATCCCATATGGTAGATGTCAGACATGCACACAAGTATAAGTTAGACTGTGATAAAGCGCTTTGGAGAGATCAAAGTGAACAGCCTGAGAATCAAGGGAAGACCTGTAGTTGACATGGTTCCTGTGCTGAGCCTTGGAGGAAGAAAACCATCATAGTGGACAGAGATGTTTGTGTGCAGAGTGAAGGGTCAGTCCAAAGCAGGGCAATGGTGCCATCCTGAAGGAATCGGGGCAGGACAACACTGGCGAGTCCATCCTGGCTAGAGTGGAGAGTGCACAAAGGGGAAGAATATGAAACATAGTTGGAAAGTTAAGTTGCAGTCAGATTGGGGAGGGCCTGAAACGCTGAGTTTGTATTTTCTCCTTTAGGGCAACAGGGAGCCAAGTTAGCTTGTATTCTTGGGAGATGAGAACTTGGTCTAACTAACATGGTTTTTTTGTGTGACATTCTCAGGATCAAAAAACTTGGTTGGCTTGGCACGTAAGGGGTTGTCTTCAGGGTTTGTCTCAATTCCAGGGGAGGGGAAGAATGGGTATACCTGGTCTGTTGGCAGACAGCTCCACTACATGGACAAATGACGGGGAAGTAAATCAAAGCTCCTCCATAGTGGACTTCTCCCTCCGTTCCTTGCAGAGCTGGAAGAGGAAAGATTCATTCTTCACTGCCCAGGACAAAGCCTGGGCATAAATATCATGAAGTGAGTAGGGAGCCCATCCCAATATTCTCAGAATGTAAAATTCAAAAGCGAATCAAGGGCAGGGGAAAGAGCTTAGGTACCTTGATGGCACAAGTGGAATACTGATTGGTGGCAGCCTGGTTCCTGCTACTCTACTATGCAATGGGTAGCCTACCCCTGCTGTATTAAGGAACTTCCTCAGAAAGTAGAAAAATGCTTAAGTTTAGATAGTTTAGCTGAATACCGTGTAGGCAGCCCCTACTCTGCCCCTGTATGAGGCTGATTTTGCCTGGAATCTCCTAAAAGTGCAGAAGAATGCCAGATAGGGGTCCCCACCAGCCAACCCATAGATTTTGGTGTGGGACCTTTCCCTGCAGGACTACTCTGATACATCCTTTGCTGACATTTTGGAGGCAGCTTGGCCGGCTCCGGTTAGAGCCTTAGAGATGGAGACTTCCCCATAGATATGCCACAAAGAGAGCGTCTTAGGAGATAAGAAAGCAGCCATAGTTCTGATCTTTTCTAATCCTTCAGGTTCCTATGGCACCTTTCAAGAGCTCTGTGAATAAACTGAGTAAATTGCTTAGTCTAGTTACTTGTTTGGTTGTCTTATTCCCCTACTAGACTGTAAACTCCGTGAGGCCAAACTTTGTATCTCCCCCACCCTGGAGAGACAGGATTCTGCATGTGGGATGTAATAAATGGAGGTTTTCATTTATTGACCTCAAAAAGCAAAGTATGCTGAAGGAGGTGTATGTACAACAAACTCTAGTGCCTTGTCTCTGTAATCCAGCGGGTTCTGGAAAATTGTCCAGATTCAATCTGCCTTGAAGTTTGGTGGGATTTCTTGTTTTGTTTTCTTTTGAAGAAAAAGGTATCTCATTTCTTTGCAATTTAAATAATGAAATGTAGTTGTAAAATACTCTTGTCTTGTGCCTTTCTCTGGAAGCCAGAAGCAAAGAGATTATTCTTTTCTTTCTTTTATTCATTGCCTTACATAAGGCAGGGCAGAGCCCACATACCAGGAGAGCAATCACTCCACTTCCATGAACCTGAGAGGCCATAGTCCTAAAGTTCTTTTAGTTCTGAAAGACTGGGGTCAAACATGAAACGCCCATTGTCCTTTCTGGCATTCTGCTGGGTTGGCAGATGAGGTGCTAGGATTGCCGTGTTCCAATGAGGAATTTGCTGTTCCCATAGAAGTCCCATCAGAATACCCATCTCAACCTGGAAAAAAAAAAGCATTTCTGTAATTTTCTAAGGCATGGGCACCAACTATTTATTGGCTGGATTCACTCTAAGTCAAGGTTAGCTCTAATATAGTTAAAAGAGCCCTGGAGAACTACTGAGGAAGCATGTTTCCGTAAAGAGGACTTGGGTTGGAGGTGTGGAACGAGGCATGTGCTGTCGAACATGGCCACTGTGATTGATTTTGTCCAGTTGGACTCTTGTTTTAAGGGAGAATTCTAGAAGGAGGAGAGAATCATTGGAAAATAATTGAAATGTAAAATAAAAAAGATTCTTTTCTTTTTTCTTCCTTCCTTCCTTCCTTCCTTCTTTCCTTCCTTCCTTCCTTCCTTCCTTCCTTCCTTCCTTCCTTCCTTC